TGAACCACGGTCGACTACGTGGGAGTCCAGTGACATAGCCATTACGCTAACTGCTGGTTCCCAGTATGTCTCTTTTTTAATAATTACTTATTTTATTTTATTTATTCATTCATTTATTTTAAATTGACCAAAGAGAAACACAGAGAAAGAGAGGGAAAGCAAGAAAGCAAGCCACCAGGTCCAGGACTCGAACCATGGTCAACCATGTGGGAGTGTCCAGTGCCTTAACCACCATGCCACCTGCTGGTCCCACCAAGTATGTCTTTAGAAAGGGTAATAGTGACAGCATTTACTGAACTGAAATTACTATCAAAATTTTTAAAACCCAACAATATTCATTTAACCACCAGCCAGTCTTACTTTAATCAGAATTATCCAACAAAAATACCCTGTTAGCCATTCATGATCTGAGTTCTGGTGTAGGAGATCAATTCAAATATGTTACACATAAAAAAGGTGAGACTTTTCTGTTTTTTTTTTTTTTTTTTTTGGAGAGATTTTCACTGTAGGGCACGTGTGCTCGCCAGACAGAGAGAGACATAGAGACAGAAAGCGAGAAATCACCCCCCAGGGGGGATGGTCACGCCGCAATCCCTTCTCCTCCATTCTCCTCTCGGGATCTTGGGCACGCATGCACACGCGCCCGGCGTGAGTTTTAAGCCACCGGGTCCGGGACACGAACCGCTGTCGACTATGTGGGAATCCAGTAACATAGCCATTATGCTAACTGCTGGTTCCCAGAGACGTTTCTGTTTTGTCATAAATAAGGCAGGGGTCACCTATTACTCATGAGTAGCTTGTTTAACATGAGCTATCAGGGGAACCAGCAGTTAGCGTAATGGCTATGTTGTTGGACTCCCACATAGTTGACCCCGGTTCGCGTCCTAGACCCGGTGGCTTAAAACTCACGCTGGGCACGTGTGCGTGTGTGCCCAAGATCCCGAGAGGAGAATGGAGGAGAAGGGATTGCGGCGTGACCATCCCCCCTGGGGGGTGATTTCTTGCTTTCTGTCTCTATGTTTCTCGGTCTGGCGAGCGCACACGCCCTATAGCGAAAACCTCTCCAAAAAAAAAAAAAAAAGATAAGCTATCAGCTCTGCTCTTTCCAACTTCTTTTTAATGCCAGCGAAGATAATTTTTTTCCCAGGGATGTCCTTCTTGGGATTCTCCAAATCCTCCATCAGTGCATCCTCTCCCAGGTGATGCCTTTGTTCTTGTTGG